GCAAAGGTTTCAGTTGCCAAGACCACCTTCACCAGAGCTCTTTCAAAAAGCACTTCCACGATCTACACACAACAACAACAACAACATGAAGAGAACAATCAGTGCTAGTCATTAGAGCATGCCACGTCTCCAACATTATTCCTCGCCAAGGAACATCGTGGTGCAATGCATAACACGAGTTTGCCTTGGACGAGATGGCGCAGTGTGGACTAGTTGATATAATGTTTTGCGTAACATTATGTTTGCGACCATTTGTCTAATGTGGGCACCGACATAGAATGTCTGACTGATCAGAGACATTTTCAACTCACTTCACGAGTGTCGAAAGCACCAAATCGCCGCCATCATTATTTGCCACTGGCACTAATCCCCTGTTGCTTTGGTGAAATGAATCGCTGATCTAATTCTGCCTGCCTGCCTGCCTACTCCACATACGCATGACAATATTGCTATTGATGAAGGGTCAAAATGGGGACTTTCGGACGTGTTAACTGGTGCAACAGGCAGCAGAATGCATACACTGGACATGTGAGTAAAGAGACGAGAATTGGGGTGCGATTACTAACCTCCTTGAGAAGAGGCATCATGCCGGAGTGGTGGAAAGCGATGCCACGGAGAACGAGATCGCGCAGCATGATTACTTGCGACAATTGCTTGTCGCTTGCCTCCAGGCGTGTGCTGAGGCACTTGTGCAGCACACTGTTGACCTCCTTCTTCTCAACTGCAGCATAAAACAGGTGTCAGGCAGGCTACTTCTATCCAACGTGTCTACTTGATGGCAGCCGTAATAGGACACACTGCGCATCACTCTAACCACTCACCTTCGTTGAGCAGGTCAACACAGCCAAATTGCTGCACCAGCCTCATTATTTGTGCCCGCGATAGCACAAAGGCAATGGCAGGCAACAAATCACGCTCCTGCAAAAGGGCAATCAGGCCTATCCAGGTGTTGACTTGTGCACTACTTCTGTCCTCGTAGCCATCACTGTCTGCAAAAAGATATTCATTTTGTGACTTCGACAATCATATCAACTGTGCTCCATGTCGGCATTCAACGGCGCACAAATCGCCGAATTCGCAAGTCATGAGAACACACTTACCATACCCGCCGTCGTATGCATCATTTGACGCACCATCGGTGCCGCTTTGAATTTCCTCATCGTTGTTGTCCACCACCCTGGGGTTGGTCAGAGACGCAACAGCCTTCTTGTAGCCTGAAGTGTGAAGACAACATTGGTGTCTCGTCAAATACTGATGCTTTCACGAAAGGCGCTTCACTAACGATTCAAGCCAAACGCGGCTTTCTTGGCATAGTAAGCAAAAGCCGCATTCACCACGACTACGAGTATTTCGACTTCACTTGGACTTTTGCGTCTGAGTCGTCTGCTCGTCATCTGTCCAGGTATTCC